GGCTTTGCTATTGTGAATGAGGAAGCAAACGTGTCTTTTTCAGGTCCAGTTCGCAATCTTTCCATTTCTTACACCACGGAACTTAGAGCGTTGGTTGCGATTTGTAAGGCAAATGCCCCCACCAAAGTCTTTACTGACTGCAAGACGATTGTGGATCAGTTCCAATTCGTCAAGAATGGTGGTGCTGAAAAGACGTGGTCCCACTACTCATGATGGCTCAGAATTGCCAAACGTTTCGCTTTGCTTTTGCATGCTTTTGCAGGTGCACGACCCTCCAATTGACATCGTCTGGATCCCATCGCACTCAAAAACTGTTGGACAGCACTTGCCAATTGACTACATTACCCCATCCACGGCTACGGCTACGGCTAGTGCGCATAGCACTGAAATCAACACATCTTTTGCAATAGATTTGCCGACACATCAAGCCTTACAAGAAGCTGCCGTTCATCCTCAGGATGAAAACCTTTTCCGCACCACGAACAGGACTGGCCTACACAATTGAGCTACCAAATCGCCAAAACGCTTGAAATTGAAGAAAACGGTGATGATTGCCAAAACGATGTTGACGAACTGGACCCGATTGCTCTCTTTCCACATTGGAAGTGGGAGGAAACCAATAATATATATATATAAGCCTCCCAGAGCAGAATCTCCATGAGAGTTTGGCACCAGTGATGGTGGTCAACGGGCCAAGTCTAATCGTCTCGTCCTTCGACAAGTAAATTTGACAACCCTCAAGGGCACCACCCGGTAGGGATCGGTAGGGTCTTACCAATGCACTTGTTCTGCTGAAGTCTTATCAATGCGTCCCTGGAATGAAATCAACAGTACCAAGACGCCGAATGCAAGAAACAAAGGTGCGGATAAAGTCGAACAGTTCCCTGAAGGTAGAGATATTTGGATCGTGCGAAGGGAAAAGTTGGAAACGAATGGCAATTTCAACATAGGAGGTGAGTTCACTAGCATCAACTTTCCATCTCGCGGTGCGAAAGAAGTCCTCAGTGGCACGCGGCCATTTATCATGTGCATCAGTGGGTGGTATGGCTTTGGGTGTCCATGGAAATTGTTCTTTTCACCTGTGTTGGGACCTTCTGCGACTTCTCGACGCGTTTTTGGAAGAAACTGTGGTTTTACCATCCAAATTTGGCGGGGGAGGTTATTGAATCAAGAGTCTACATTGCGGGCGCCAGGAACCCGATAGAGCCCAACGGCCTGGCCGGCTGTAACGCTGCAGGGCCGCGGTGAGGTAGCGACGCGCCAGAAGCACCTGGCGCACCCGCTCGCGACCTCAGCAAAACCGCCCCTTCCAGTCTCTGAGGCGGCTCACTTCCAGTTGCAAATGACATGCTTCCTGCACGTATAGGTGTACGTCAGTGTAGGTGTTCACATCAAAAAATATTCCATATAATGATACCATGTAAAAACCATGTGATACCAGTCTATGTCGTAGTCTATGTGGTTGCTTTCGTGGAAGCACCGGGCAGCCCGGCGGGACGGTCCCACCGAAGCTTCCTGCGCCGAGGCAATGCCCCGGCGCAGGAGCTCCTGAACGGCGACGCGGTGGTTTTTCAAAGAGTCCAGTCGGTGGCACCTAAATGGATGCAAATGGATTGGTTTAAGAGAAAATCTACAGGAAACATGGTGAAACACCCTGGTTTAAGAGACTGAGTTTCTGTAGATGTTACTTTTTTCCTTATCAACTAATTCTGGGAATGGCCCGGCGGTGCCCACGAAAGGGTGCCTATTTCCATCACCTTGAAGTCTTAAAGTGTAAGAAATCATGGGTGATCGGGTCCGATGAATGTCCGAAGGGTGCGGAGCATTGCGGAGCATTGCAGGGCCGGGGGGAAGAACTGTCGTTCTTTCCTAAGTGAGTTTACAGTGGACAGTTCTTGCAGCTGGGACAAGTAGGGCGGGTATCATCACGGGTTGTGTCAGCCTCAAACTTGCTGGTGAGGGAAGAAAAGGGATTGACCCCCTTTGCCTAAAGGGATTTGCTACTGCTGAAAACTCCAATTAAGTGGATCAACCCCTCCTAAAGGTTTCTTTTCAGGGGAACTCATCGATCGTCTTCAAATAGGGTCAACAAACAAGAAAAATAGATCAACAAATAACACCAGGACCTGGGCTTTGCTTGTCCCTCATTCCAGTCACATTTCACTGGCAATCAACCAGAAAAGGCTGCGTGATTCTGGCACACATTGTTTCCCTCCCGTGTTGGGTGAATTCAATCGGGAGTGCCCAAAATATGCACTACCAGTTGGGCAGTGCCGGATCTTTCTTCACCAAGCCCTAACTACTAACGACCAAGGACAGAGATCCTGAGGCTGCCGACATGACATGACGTGATACAGTGATACTAGTATATACCTTCTGAAGCAACTCGAACGGCTGAAAACAACTTGTTTTTGGCCAATGACTATTTTAGATCACAACTTGGGATTTAAGCCGAAAGTCCTGGGATGTAGCTTTTATTTGTCCTTCATGGTCCTTCCATTTATTCTTTGACTATGCGTTCTTACTGACACTTTAATGCTTCTAACGTAGCCTAAGAATGTCTAGAGTCCATACATTCAATAAAGGACATCAAGTACATCAACTAGATCCAAACTAGATCAAATCGAATTCTCTCTTTAAAATGTCCACGTCGATCTTGTAAGCCTCCAAGACCCTTCAAGATTCAAAACTATGGTCGACCTGGTTCCGCTAGCCCCAAAACCCTTAAGCATATTTCCTACAATTACTCACATGCACATACATCTGGATACATGCACATTTGTTTACCTCAGTTGGTCACTTCATGCCAATTCCGTCTTAGCTTCAAGTCGCCCCAAGTTCCTCCTCCGCTCCCGTCCGCTCCCAACGTCCCATCTGTGACTTCACCGCCTCAGTGGCCATGCCGTTGGTCTCCGGCAAGGTCTCCTCGTCCGGGCGGTGGAGGACGGCCGAGGATCGACTCAAGACGGGTGAAGTGAGAAGGGATCGACACACCTGTTTCAAGCGAGGATTTCCGGATTGGACCATGATTTGGACGAATCAAGAATGCCCAGCATATAGTTTTGTGATGTTTTGTTTGCTTCGTTATCCACAGTGGGGGAGGTTTTGCTGGTGTATGTTGTGAAGATCCAACCGGCTAGGCCGTGAATCTGGAAGTACGTAGGGTGTGCGTGACATATCCTATTTTGTTTTGCAGAGAATACAGGCTCAACCACGTCCTAGATTCTTGCTCTTAGACTCTTAGGAACCAAAAAAAGAACTTAAGAACTTCCACCAAATGTGAGGGAAGCCAAAACCGCCCCCCCAGCTTTGAAACATCCAAGGGTCCGAGGAACCTCTGTGGGGACGCAGATTTGTTCGACCAAGCGGACCCGCTTTGGGCGTCCGGTATGGACCGGACCTTCGAACAGAACAAGCGGACGGCCCCATGAGCGGCTGCTTTGACCTCACGAAGAAGAAAGATCTGAGACCCAGGTCTTCTGTATTTCGGCACGGAAAGGCCTTTTGATGTCTTTGGGCTGCTTTTTGGGCGGAGATGGGGAGATGGGGAAATGGGGCACAAAGTCCACGGTCCAAAAAGCGGCTAAGACTGCTTGTTTTGTAACGACAAAGATCTAGAAAGGAAAGGTCCCGCACTTAAGGAAAGGCCCAAAAGCCGACATCCACGAGGATTGCCATTATCGAACCCGCCGGGGACAGCCGGAGACCGGACCGGGACCGGGACGTCCAGGCCAGGTGCCTGGATCAAAAAGCCCCTGAGCCCTGACCCTTGGAAACCGCTGAGTTTGAAGAGATGCCATCGGCAAGTTGAACCTGATCCCTTCGGAAACTTGACAGATCAATATAGGTTGGGTATCTCCCAGGACCCAGTGGATAATTAAATCAACGGCTACACATGGCTACACACAGCTTTACGGCGAGGCGTCGCCCCGCGAAGAAGCGCTGCGCTCCGGGTCATGCGGCTCCTCGCCCATGCGGTAGGCATCCGCCGGCGAGGGCCGGCCGAGGCCACACCCCATGAGTGGAGCCCATGGCGCGTGGCCACGCGTGGCGCCCAGTGGCTTGTCGGCCAGGTGTAGGCGTCGTGAGCATCGAATGGTGGAAGTCCTTTTTGGGATATTAACTGGAGGGTGAAGTAGGCAACTGGACTGAGAGTGAGCAAAAACCATGGACCGGAAGAAGCGAAGATCCAATAATTGGCCAATGGAAGGTGTCAGGTATGCAAGAGATGAAGTAGTATAGTACATCACTGAAACGGTGATAAGTGATCACAATATAGTTCGACTGGACTTCTATAATGCAACAGCTTTGTTGCATAGATTCAGCCCAACTGGCATAGAGCCCTTGGAGCAAACCCGAGGTGGGTAGGACACAAAGCCAATAGCTTTTGCATTCACAGGGCTGGTGACCAGGTGAGGAATTAAATATATATTGTTATCATTGGTTTGTTTCTCAAGGTGCAGCCAACTCATGCTATGCATTGCAACTTCTCAGGTTTGGCCTTGCGGGCTGTCTAGGTGCAGGTTCCGTCTCTAGACATCTCCCACGCGGTCGAGGACTGTGATTATGACCCATCTGTGACTACGTTCTGTCCCACGTTGGTCTGCACTGACATTCCTTCTACGTCTACGAAATGAGCAGGAAATGCACGGCGCGGTTCCGCGCGGTTCAAGTCCAACCAGGTGGGGGTCATATCCACACCGATGTTGCATGAGAGGCGGCTGGGCGGTTGATGGGCGGCTGAGTCTCTTAGCAAAGCAAAATGTTTTCTCTGGAATGAACATGAGAATGTGGGCATCCCTTGAGCTGGAGATGCTTGTGGCTTGTGGAAAGAGTAAAGAATGCGTCATCCACTTGGAAAGCCAAAGAAAAAGTTGATAAATGCAAGGTGCTGATAGAATCATGAAAACGTTGCAAATGGTTTTTGGGCTTCGTTGGGCCGGATACAATGCTCAAGAAGCAACAATACTCAAAGGAGCACCCGAGTGGCCGGTGCGCACCCGAATCTGCCGATCCAGCATCTGCCAATAGTATTCTCTGGAGCGACCAAGAACCTGAATCATTCATCCTTTGAAAGCTTTGAACTGTTTTCTTGCTTTCCAAGAAACATGAACAAATGTTGATAATGTATATTAATATATAAACACAGCATACAAACCAGCCTGACGAGCAGAACGTTCTTTGGATTGTTGCTGCACCTCGCATCTCACAAGTAGCGGCGGTACATGCTAAGACCGCAGCTCCTCTCACATGCTAGTCTCCAAATGACAATATGGCTGTGCACTAAAATAGGAAGACGTCCCAGTTCGACCCTGGAAGAAGGAAAATAGACCAGTCTACCCATTGGTTGGGTGTCTCCCAATTAAAATACACACCCACTTACACACCCATATGTCTGGTCAATGACCTGTGTGGGCATAGAGGGGCCCTTGCTCCGCATGAAACGTTGCAGTGCACATTCGTTCCGCATGGCGCCTGCTCTGCATGACGGGCCATTCGTTCTAAGCCTCGGCAACAAAGGTCTGTTCATCCTCGAGTTTTTCAAAAACTCATCTGTACTCACCAACACAGCCTTAACCAAACGAACACTTGATAAAGGTAACACATGGTAACACAAAAGGATTAACAATTTCCCACACTTGTTCACATTGCACTTTCTCTCTTGTTCTGCTTTATCATGTTGCAGGGCCTCCGGACTGCAAACGTGTGATTCACGCTAGATATCAAGACTTCATGCTATGCACCCACTAACTACAATGACATTGACATAATAGAAAGGACTAGGAAGGCATTCTAGACACTCAACAGTGCTTGAAACCACATACAAGAGAGGACACCACTATATCAAGTGTCATAAAGCTGGAACAAGGCCTTTGCCCGTTTCCAACTCTTGCACCCAGCTACTCCGCTCCTGTCTATCTCTATGTCCTCGTATGGACAGGTCTAGCATCTTCGACTTCTCTTACTTGGGCAGCTGGCCTTTGTTGTAGAGCGAGTGGTGCACATCGCAACTCCTTCAGTGGAAACGGCCGGAATCGACCCCTCGCCCTCGCTGCAAGTCTGCAAGTCGGCCCTCTCATCAAGTCGGCAAAACACAAAGGAAGGGGAAGGACATCCGCCCTTTCGCATAACCATTTCCTTCTCATGTCCGGCACGGACGATCCGGTGGTCTGAACACCGCGCGTGACGTGACACCCTCTGGTCGCCGGGTCGCCCCGCCTGGCCCGTCGCCGAGACTCCTGATGGATGCAGCGACGGATACGACGACTGATCCGGTTGGTCCGGTTGGCCCTTCCATCTTCCCAAAAAGGAGGGAGCACGAGCACGAGTGAAGATGGACCGATTTCGCCACTTGGTCCAGTTTGTGAACAGGTCCAAGGATCGGGCCGACCATGGATTGTCTTTCTAAAAGAAAAACAAACGAAGTATGTCCATGAACGTCCATGAACACATGCCATCATATGTACATGGTCAATTGACCATGTTGATTCGTACTGGAACGTTTTGCCGTTTCAATGTAAAAATGGCCGGCCTTGACCGTATACCGTATACATTGAAACGGCCAAACGTTTTGGATCCCCAGTCCGGTCGCTCACGTTGGATCGCAGGGGCCCTTGGATCGCACGGCCCGCCATGGCCACCCCCCTCTGTTTATGCCGAAAGGACAGAAAAAGGTCCGTTCAGGTCACTAAAGGTCACTATAAAGGTCTAAAGAATTCGCGAGGTAAAAAGAGGTAAAAAATAATGAGAAAGAAAGGGTCCGAGACGAACGGTGTTTTGGGATGGAAGGAAGGAATGGAGCTGCCCTTCCAATGGGCCGGGTGTTCGTTCGTCCCCTTCTACTCGTGGTAGGCATAGTTTGAGGCTTCCACTTGTTCAAAGACAAGGCCTTTTTCAAACAGGGTCACTGGTTTTGGCCGGCACCGCAGGCTTCCCAGTGGCTCCAATGCACGAAGCGGCGCACTTCTTTTCTCCAAGTCAGTCAGTGAGTCTTGAAGTGAAAAACCTGAGCACCAATCACCGATCAGGCCACGCATACCCAGAAACCACAAACCAATCAGGACAAAGTAGAGCCCAAATAAATAGCCCATTTCAGAATTGGAAAAGGAAGCCACTTCTACTGCTACTTCTAGGGGGATCTCGTATACGCCACACAAACAAACAGACAGAGACAATACTCAATTCTCAGACAAGGCAGGCAAATCGGCAAATTCACTGTGTCAGTGATGTTGTATGGGTGTCAGATTCCGAGATTCTCCTTGTGCCCGAAATCAGCTGTTCTGTGGTAATTGAATATTTGTTGATGAGAATAAGAGAAAAGGAGAAGCGTATTCTGTCTGCTGCACTGAATATTTAGCTTGGCTGTCCTCAAGTTCAACCCAAGAATGAATCCAATTGGATTCAACTCACTTGAAAAACACTAGTCAATGGGTTCAATCATTATCCCAAGTACAGTACAGGTTGATAACAAAATATAACCAACATATACAAACATATCTGAAACTATCACCCAGAAGAGCTACTCGCTGGAAAAATCATGCAAGTGGAAATTGGCACCGTTTCTCAAACCTCCTCCTCCCTCTCCCCACTTCCCCTCTACTCCCAGTCCCGGTCGTCAGGTCCTCACAGAAGTCGCCCGACTCTTGTTCTGAGCTCTCCGGACTCATGGTCGCCCGGTGGTCGGTGACGAGACCTCCGGCAGAAACCGGAAGAATCCATCGAAACTCCATGCGCCATCACTGAGTGGATGAGAGGATTCGCAGGACGCCAACCCAAAAAAAGCAGGTCGTCGCCCATGTCACAAAATGTGTTGTGAGAACATCTGAGAACAAGACGACTCCTTGTCCCTTTCTTTTGCCGGACCACCACTTGAACGGGTTAAGCTGTCTTGTGCGAGTTTTAGCTCGCATATGGGATCCGACGGATCCGACATTAATAACTTAATTCTGTCAAATGCATGGCGAACTGTTCCCTTCCAAACATCAACATTGCCGCCAATGGTTCATTGTCCCAATTCAAAGGATTCTATATACAAGTCATGATAATGGAAATACTCTTCTGACATGAATTGATGTGCAATCTAATAGCCACACCATCCTTTTGCGCTCCAGCATCTGTGCAAGCAGCGAGCCCAAAGCAGTCTTTGGGTCTGCTGGCATAGTCCATGCCTTCTCCGAAGATTGACTTCGGGACAAGGTTGCAAACTTTGGCAAAGGGACATCTGATCAGCCTGAGAAGCAAAGGAATCCAACATGGCTGCAGTATCCTGAGATCCTGTCGGATAAATGCAGCGTTTGATCAGTAGAGTGCAAATAGTCAAGGCATTGAAGTCTGCCAATCATCCTATACGCTGTTCACTTACTAGTAGGATGCAATTTGTTCAAAACCTACCCAAGATCCTACGAGATCATACAATATATATCCTAAACTGGCTTGAGTCGGTTGTTCTGCGAACTCTGGGATCACCCACCCCTGGCGAACTCGTTGTGAGAACGCCAATAACCTTACGCGATCCAATAGCTTCTGTATCCCCTGTATCGGCTGCAAGGCAGTTGGCTTTGGTGTTTACAGTAAGTATAGATGGAAAAGTCGAAATCCAACGTGCCTGGAGAAGAACAACTTGCCAGTCCGGGTTCTACTTTTTATGGCCTGAATTCCCTTCGTCGCAGTGCGTGGTGGATCTGCCTTCATCCTAGTAGCAATGGCCTCCAACCTAATAGCGGTTTTCTTTCAACACTTTTTGGTCCAAAACAGCCCCCAGACCTGCCAAAGCTCACAATGCAAGAATCAGACTTCCATATCTGCCAGTGCTCCTCTGAGCCAAGGATGGACGTCCCTTTTTGTGAGGCCTTCAACGAGTCAAACACTACGTAGATGTTGCTTTCGTTTTTGTATGTTTTTGTCTTTTTGCCTCGCATGTCAGCTGCTCTGCAAGCACTTCTTTGCTCTGAGCCCTTCTTTTCGTTGCTTCTCACCACAGTGCACCACACCTGCGCAAGGACACGCAAACGGGACAGGCGGCTGGTGTGTGGTCGACTGAAGCAGAAGAGGTGCGGTCAGTGACAAACGTAGACCAACATCATACTCAAAATAAGAGACATAATATAGAGACACCCCCTTTGGCTAAGAACATGCAAGAACTGAACATACCATTTCCAATCTCCCTTTTCACGCAGCTCACACGTTCTGGAAAGGATGGCTTTGCTTTGCTGCACATCCAAAGACATGGTGCGCAGGGCCTAGCCGGGCTTGGCCGCGGCTCACTCGCCCTCACCCTCCAGCGAATTCTTCGGTGGATCGCTGGACGGCTCTCCTTTGACTTGGACGGTCTGATCATGCACCTCGAAGTCCGCATTTTTCAAAGCGACCAGAATCTCCTCAGAGGTGGCACTCAGGTCTTTAAGACTTTTGGAATGTTCAAGAACCTCCAAGGGTAGCGAAGAACTCCCATCCATGGTGAGTTCATGGAGCAAATCTTCCACCACCCCTCTGATCACATCCAAGCGGTTGGTGCCCGCAGTCTCTGGCACCTCTTGTGCAATGTCTGGTTGAAGGTGACGGATGGCTTGCTGAACTCGGTTCAGCAAACCTCCCATCAGTGGAAGTTTGGAGTCGATCTGTGGGATATCGCTGCTAGGCAGCCAAACATGGCCATAGCACTCGGCCACTTGCATGGAAGGAGGCAATAGCGATGCCACAGTTTTGACGTCCCCACACTCGCTGCGGCTCTTCGCCTTGCTCTCAAACGCGGGTTTTTCCAGGAGAATGACGTACCAATCGCATTTCTCTCCCTCAGCAAACTTGGACGGTCCTGTTGATACAGATTTCGCTATCAGCCCACATTCTTCCTTGACTTCACGCATGGCCGTCTCACGACTGTCGCGGTCCGTCAGGTCTCGGCAGCCACCCAAGGCAGCCAGATAGCCAGGCATACACTTCATGCACTGCGATCGGAGTTGCAAGAGCACGTCATAACCGCCTGGTGAGCTGTCACTTGGCCGCAGGAGAATGGCCTGTGCATTGACTTTTCGGGGTGCCGAGGAGTCATCCCCGCTCCGCTTGGGCGCCATGCTTTCGTGAGAACAATCAGGTGGAACTAGGTACTTGCAGTGGAAGAATGGCAACAACATCGTCTTATTTTGCGTTGAAGGGAGACCTGGGTATGGGATTGATTTGTTCGACGTTGTTGACTGATTCCCGGCAGGATATTTGCTGGTTCACCACGGCACTGTGCGGCTGCTACTAGTAGCGTCCTTGCTCCTAGTAGAGATGCCCTTTGTTACTAGTAGCTTCTTGTTACTAGTAGTACTGCCAGGAGCTACTAGTAGCGTCCTTGTTACTAGTTCTCACTTGACTTGGATGATGTTGTTGCACCACGGCACTGTGCGGCTCAGGTTGGAACCAAACACGTCGATGTCAGTGTTGTTTAAACAAGCTGTTATATAGGTTCCGACATTCAAAATGCCCTGCCAGTCATTTGCTTCAACCAGATCTGAAGGGGTGGCATAATCAGAGGTCTGAGGAGGCCAAAAACATCTAAAACCAACGAGGATATCTCAGCCTTTGCACGTGTCAGATCTGGCAGATTGAGGATATCTGTCCGTTTCAGACATATTGGATTGTCCTAGTCCTAGTAGCTTCTTGTTACTAGTAGTAAGGCCAGGAGCTACTAGTAGCGTCCTTGCTCCTAGTCCTAGTAGCGATGCCAGGAGTCCCTAGTAGCGAACCTTGTTACTAGATTGTCCGAAAAAACTCTTCAGACTCTCAGATTACTGGCTGTCTCGAGTTTGGCCGTCCGGTTCTTTCGCCCGGTCTCCGCCGGTCACGGGGAGGTCTCCGCCGGGTCGCCTGTCAGCCTTGAAGAGGTCCGCGGACTGTTTAAAGCCCACGCTCTTTCCGCCACTCATGCTGGGCGGCCTTGGTCGCGAAAGTGCGTCTCCCGAAGAACTGTTTCTGAAAACGGGTGGGCATCGGGTGGGCATCGGTGGCGCTGGCACCTGGGTTTGGGTGGGGAAGACTCTCAGTTGCACGCATATTCATAAAGCCGGGCCGAGTACAATCTCTGAGAGCAAAACCCTAGAAAATATTAAGTTGTGGGCCAGGCTGGTTTTGTGAATGTGGATGTTGTTTTCCTCAAGGCAACTAACTGCCATATGACAACATCAAATCCGCAAACCCTTCCCTGGGTACACCACCTTCGTCAAGCAATTTCGATAACAGTAAAAACTTTTGATATGAACCAATGGCTAGAACAACTAGCATACAAATGTCAATGATTATATACTCCATATTACTCCAAACAATAATAGGGTGGTGCTTTTCAATATCGATGTCCAACAATCAGCTCCAAGTACCCTACTAAATCCAGCCCACCTTTCTTCCTTCCTCTCGCCCTCCCTCCCTCCCTCCCTCCCTCCTTTCCGTTGCCTTTCCCTTTCCTTGTTCCTTTCCTTTCCGCTTCCTTTCCTTTCCGTTTCCTTTCCCTTTCCTTTCCCTTCCTTTCCTTCCTTCCTCTGCTTGCGACGGGCTTCGCAGGCTTGCTGGCTTGCTCTCTGTCTGTCTGTTTCTGTCTTGCTGCATCTTGCTGCAATGTTTCTCTCCCTCACACATTTGCCCAGCATCTGAAAAGGGTGTTCAGGTCACCCCTTCAATGCATCTACTCTTCTCACGTTTTCTTTTGCGGGTTGCCCAAGCCATGAAAGTAATACTGCTGGAGGACATGGTCTTTCTACAAGCTCTGAACGCTCCCTAAAACATCGTAGAACATCCTTAGGACCACTCGTCCCAGGCGGCGTGCCTTCCTTCACCACCCATCGGTCGGCCACCACGTATCGGCCCACAGTGTTTCACTCTGAGTCGTTCGACTTCCAGGAACCGCTGTCCATGGTATTTTCAAAGGAGTTGTCATCGTGCGACAGCTTGCCTCAGAGATGGGTACAGGGAGATGGATGGCACCATATCTTCGGGATCAGACCTCACGCCAATTAGGAGTAAGTCTTTGGACCCTGTTTACAAGAGGTCCTTTTTGCAGTTCGATTTGACGACCCCAAAGAGAAAACTTCTTCAATACATGGCACCGTGAAACACACGCTCTCAGCCGTTACCTCACCGACGTTTTTGCCAAAGCCATCCTCTCAATGTGTTTTTTTGCGTGAGAAAATATTTTTTCCTCAATCTTCAGCCGACGATTCGATCTGAGGTCGCAAACATTTGGGTCCCCACTTGCACTGGCCACGCCTGCAGTCGGCCATCTTCGACCGAGCAAATGGTCAAAGATGTCAACCCGAAGCTGAATGGCTGTTCAGGATCGATGAAGCGAACAGGCCAAAACGTAGTCTGGCTGGGGAGTCCGTAGGGCCTACTAGTAGTCTGGCCAGTGAGTCAGCAACTACCTGTCTCCCCCTGCTGATATGCAATTATGCATTATGTGTAATAATCTATACACTGAGCTCACTGTGGATTCCAGAATGTTTTTTTCATCTTCACCAAAATTAATTATGAAGCTGGTAACACAACCACAAGAAAAATGTGCGTGTCTAGGTCTGTGTAGTACATCCAAACAGAGCAACAGTGATACAGTAGTTACAGTACCATGCTCCATAGAGGACGTGAAGGACAAAGGTGAGAGTTACACCAGGTGACGACAAGTGTTTGCTCCAACCCTCCAACTACAACTTAAGCAAAGAACCCACCAAAGCTTTTACTTCCACATACAGGCAGGAAACAAGTTCAAAAATCAATTTAACTATATTTAACTTATATAAGTCCTCACCTAGTTTCCTGATCAATAGCAATACAGTGTATAACGGTTAATAAGTAATTACATGTAATTACTTTCTGTTGATCCGCCTCTCATGTCGTTCTTGGTTTCGGCGTCTGACACAAAACTAGACTTGCTAAAAATACTCTCCTGCCATCTACGACAAACAGATCTGTGCGACGACCAACATCGAAAAACCGCTCTGATTTGTCAAGGCACCAAAACATGGGACACGCTTGTCGCCGGTCACCGCCGCCGCTCCTGGTGGAAGCGCGAAGCGGTCAGCGCGAAGCGCGCTGCGGCGATGTGCTGTTGGCGCTTGGTGTGCTGAGTTCAGGTCAAAGGAGGCCGCAAGGCATGAACTTGCTTCGGTTGGTCATTTACATTCATTTACAGATATTTACAGTACATGTACATTATCCCCCTGTGAATTCACCCTGACCCCCAAGGGTGGTCATTTTATAGATATAAAACGGTACCCCCAGGGTACTGGCACTATAAAATCTGGGCACCCAAGGTAGGCAAGAAGGGCGGCAGAATATAGAATCACACACCCCATGGTTAAAATCTAGCCCACTATAAAATCACCTGCAAAAATGGTACTCTATAGATTCACGCACCCCAATGGAAGCATCAGGTCGATCTAGTAGGTAACATCAAGTAGGTGGCCTCATTCTTTAGTGACACCCCAGGGCTACGGCAACCACGATACGGACATGCACGGGCAAATTCCGATGATCTCCGAATCTGCGACGCAGATTTTTTACCTTCGCGTTTCCTGAGTTTGTCGCATTGCTGAGTGTCTCAAGAATCTCAGCAACACACCATATGAGTCAGGTGTTTATGGGTTCTTGAAGGCCTCCCTCCCAGTCAACCCCCTGGAAACCTCCAAATTATCTTCTATAGAATCAGGGCCTTTCATTTATATAGGCTCAGTACATCTACTTCTGATATTGTGTGCGCTGCCCTGGAACTCCACAAACACATTCAGTCATCAAAAAGCACATGCCTCAAAGCAAAAAGCCACTCTATAGAATCACACACCATGGCACACCAGATCATTCACCTCCTTCCCCAAAAACATATTTGTTGACTTCCGCGGGCCATGTTTGGTTGAAGTCCTCTTCCCCGGCGGTAAAGTGCTCCTAGGTTAGACAAACCTCCTTAAAAAGTAAAGAGGCATTTGTTATTGTCAACAAGGTTCAAGAAGATAACATGCGCACTTCCGCAAAGCTTCAGCGATGGTGAATTTTACCATACACTTACGCGGTGGCTTCCGCAAGCTTCCACGACTGCAGTTTTGGCTTCTGCTGGCAAGTTGGAGTTTACAAGTGTGCTTAAACTGTTTGTGGGAGGTTTTTGACGCTGCTCACATCCATCCAGGCTTCTCTGTAAAATGAAGACTTCTTCTATAAAATGGTCTCTATACAATCATGCTACCCAGGGTTACATACTTCGAGTATCAGAAGCATCATCAAAATCCTTGCCTCTATAAAATCCATGCACCCGGGGTTCATCTTGCCCTCAGACAGGGTCTACTATAAAATGACCCACCCCGAGGTGGGTCATTTTATAGAGAACCACGGGATTTTTCCTCTATAGAATACCCTCTATAGAATGCACCAAAAAGACCCCCAGGGTACCATGGTTTATAGAGGAAATTCGCTGGACTATTGTACATTTAATGAATACATTTCATATAGAAAGAATTCGTTGGTTGCTGCTGGGCAAATACTCTAAAAGCCCAGCAAGGCCAGTTTTCTTTCAAGTCCAAGAATGTCGCCAGAAGGCCTTGCTACCGAAAGGATCTTGATGACCTAAAAGGTTGTCATTGCGGGGGGGCCTGAACCCATGTATCGGCATGAATGAGCACTTTGGTGTGGCGGGATGGGCTTGTGACGTCGTGGACTTCCCCTGACTACAAGCAATCTGTATGTGAATGCCAATGCACACATATCACAAATTAAATTACATCACAATAGCCTGAAAAGAGGCATGGCTGCATTAAACATCCGGTCATTGATGGTCGTCAAATGGTCACATTTCCCAGTGACCTCCCCCGGTGATCGCCGATGTCCCGAACACGCCGGGGCCGGGCTGCAAAGCCATGAACCATTTCCTCCATTTCCTCTACACTATGGCATACGTCCAGAATCTATAGGGGCCCCTAAAAAGGCTACTCGGTACGTAAAACATGTAAAGCCAGCTACTCGGTACGTACGCGCCGTAGTAGTTGGCACATCAGACGGGGAACAGTGACACCGGGCCTGGATGCGAACCGGCACAGATTGAAATGAGAAGACTCTGCGCTGATGTGAAGGATGTGTCCATCAGCGCAAACTAAACCACAAACGGCACAGCGGCACGGTCTACCGGGTGGTTTTTTAAAGCGGGGGTCGGCATAGCAGAACCATCCTCAATGTCAGTGAAGCAACATGAACAGCATCCTGAAATCCATCAATGAAATGCACCAGTCGACGGGCGTCCAATCCAACGGCACGGTGAGATCCAAGCAGTCTCAAAAACTTTGCAGCCTGCTGAGATCCTACTTTTACAACCTCATCCATTGAAGGTTAATTACAGGACTTTCTTTACAAACATCTACTCATCATCTACTCATGTCTACGAAGCCACGCACAAAGAAAGGTATTCTTAGCCGCAGTCATGCAATCAGCGGCAAACACGCCGACCGAGGTGAGACTGTTTTTGCAATGATGCTCCATGAGAAACCGAACTGCAGCAGCAAACCAGCAAAGCACTAGCGGCAGCATTCCCTGCTGGGTTAAGTTGAGATCATCAGAAGCAAAACAAACGTCATATGACCTCTATTTTGCACCACCAGCCACCCCAAATACAAGTATGGTCTTTTCCTATGGGTCAAAAAGGTTCCACGGTGTTCCAGGCAAATATCGCTTTGACCAAGTCGAATCAACGTCATCTCCTCTGGCTCAAGGCTCGAAGAAAGCCCTCGGACGGCGTGTGCTTCACCTGCGACGTATGGCGGGTGCCCTTCAGTTGCTCCCTTCGATGTCCTGAATCTGAAAAGGGGTGAATCGGGATGGCGTGCCGTGCTCCCGAAGCTCTGAATCTTATTAGAACATATTTACAAGCTGTCAACTTAAAGACATGCTTTCAAGAAGGGCTTCCTTGGACGTGGGAGTGCATAGCAGCAGCTTTAGCACACGAAAGTAGGAGCCATTCTTCTAATGACCCTGGGATCTTTTGACCAATAGTTCTTCCAAAACAACTCAGTTTGACGCTTCGTTTGGCCCACTTGGCCATCTAAACTTCTGCCTGCTTGAGAGTGCTCTCCAGCTTCTGTCGCAAAGCCTTTCGATCAATGACAGTGGCGACAATCACCAGGACTATCAGAAGCATGGTATGAAAGTCCCTGATGGCCCATGATGGCCGTCCGGTCCCTGCCCGAAAGTCCCAACAAAGACCAATCACCTGGTGACGTCTGGGTGACCCACAAACTGGGCACCCTAAGTTGAACGAACCCTTTGCGCCCTTTGAGGGGGGTTCACAAGAGCTTCCTTTCAAGAGAGCAGAAACATGGTTCCATGAGGAACATCCGTGAGCTTTAACTCTCTATCTCTCTCTATACATATATATATGTCTATTCGCCATTTCACTGATATACTGACTGTAATATTGTTAACGAATATCGTACACTTGGAGAGTCCTGGAAATTCAAACAACACATAGCTGTCATGAACGGATTCTCGGTCTCAGAGCCTTTCAGAACTCCTCCAAGTGCAGTGCATGGTTTTTCTCGTCGTCTCCCAACGCGCACCTCGGGTACGCGGTTCAGCTCACGCTCCAGGGCATCACAGGCCGCCTCGTCACGGCGCCAGGGGATCTTCCCTTTCGCCACGCGTGGCGCGCGGCCTTTCTGCCCGCAAAGACATGACTTCACCGATGTCTATGGTTGTTTTAGCTGTTTTCGGACCCCCATGCTGACGATTTCCGTGGTTGCCTGATAAGTATACATAGCATTTCCGTGGTTACCCCTCTCCTGGTCCATCGGATGGTTAGTTCAACTCCAGTCCTTGGACCACAGTCACTCGTGGGCTCCGCCTCAAACACTCTCTGGTTGTAGGCATTGAGATCCCCAAGCTGTGCAATCGTTGTGATCACCTCGCTGGGGCCTCAGGTGGTCAGGTCAATCAAGCAAGAGCTCTTATCATTATGAATCATGATAATGATGTGTTTGTATTGTTCTTAAGGCTGCAACATCCAATCTATCCCAAACTAGATGGCGATACTTCTTCACCCTGTAATTACACCTTTTCTATAGCTCTTGGATACCCTTTGATACAATGCAACAAATACGGCAAATCTCTCTACTGTAAATACTGATGAACCCGATTGGACCTAAGGTCGCACCCGGAAAGTCGATGGTTTTCCGTTTTCACCGCGTCTGGCGGTCGATGCGTCGCACTGGATTGCGGCCGCACAGGACAGCTGAGAGCTGAACCAAGTGATCGTCGGTTGAACCTGATGGACGATCCAAACCGTCATGGATGGAAGAAGAAGAAACAACATTTAAAAAAAAGAAGAAGAAATGGTCCACAGAAACGGTGAATGATGGCTAGCAGGAACTGGCTTCAATCATTAAAGAAAAACAAAACGATCAATGCTAGTAGGCTTAGGGATGCGTCAAACCACCCTGACTTGTAATGTGCTTTAAGCTTGTTTGGTGGGTCATTGATTTAACTTAGCTTGAACAAATACACACATTGTAAATCTCAACGTACGGCTGCACAAAAATATGTTATTTTATGGACACAGTAACTACTAGTTCCTAGTTACTACTACTACTATATTATAGATATAGTACAAGTTTGCACACAAATCTCGTCAACCGGCTTTAGCAAAACAGCGTCTCCCACAAACCAGCTGCTAGCCAACCAGTGGAAAATGGTCTGTCTTAGACCACTCCACCCCAAATCGGAGAGCTTTACCAATCATGAGTCTACACTGTATTGATATAGTGATAAATAAAAATAAATAAACTATATATGAGGGTCTTCTTTGGCAAGGAGTTGGACTTGTTTTGAACCATGCCTTCTTGGCCCCCGTGGTCGTTTCCGGACTCAGCTGTTGCCGCGTCCCGTGGCCCAAGCGACGCGCGGCGGAGCTCATTGGCCAGGACCTCGAAGAGGCCTCCTGAGCGAGTGAGGCTTCGTTTGGCCTTCGTTTGGTGGAGCGAAGCCACCCGTAAGCAACAACGTGCTAAACGGTGCAACAGCGTTTTACGCCTTGACACATCCTTTAAACATTGGAGATGAAAGTTGCAGGTTGTATATGTTGTATTCATATGTATTCACATGTATTCACTGCATGTCATTCCAACAAGGCCAAATTTCTATCATAACTCCGCCATGACAAACCTTGGAGTTGATTGTGTTGCTGGTTTGCCTCTTGTTTTCGGCGGTACACCTGCACCCTGCACTGCTCTGCACCGAACAAACGCGCACGCGGCGCCATCGAAGAACTTGGATCTCCCCAATGCAGCGACCACCTGGCTGCTCGGAAAGGATGGGAAGAGAACCATGGTCACTCACCTCTAAGAGTTTTGGCTCAAATCAATGTAGGCTCTTGATCAATTAAAGCACATAATTAGGAATGTAGCACTTGAACCCGACAGTTTGAATATAATCAAGACTAAGTACCGAGTCTACTGAGTACCGTCAGATTCAGATTCCGTCCGTTGCGCCACATCTCCCACCTCGCACAACTCTTTGGAGCGCAGGTCGCCGCGCTTCAGGCGTTTCTGGAGTCCTGGCCTTGCGAAACGGGCGAAACAACCTGGTCGACCTAGAGCCTCATGGGTTGACACACCCGAACACGGGTGTTTCTTTGGAAGTTTGAATTTCCAGAATCCAAAGAACACCCGAAACAAACACACACGCAAAAATATAGATAAACATACTTTACTTCGAGTTATCTCCACCCTGAAGGGCGAGTTGGTAATGAGGGAGTGAAACCTTTAAGACTCACCTGGCAGGTGACGAAACAAATGTCATCAGTTGAGGCAGTTGGCAAGTGAATGTAAGTGAGATTTAGATGCAATCTGGTGGTTTCCATCTGACTCCAACACTGTAAACTGTTCCCATGTGACCATTCTTAGATGAGTTCCAAATGTACGAGGAACATACATTATGAGACTGGGGAGAACATAGGTGAAGCCTACCACCAAAAAAACGCGGCTATAAAAAATGCATTTCCCCGATGAACAAATTCTACAGGGGGTCAATCCACGTAGTCCAATCTGAAACATACAGCATCACAATAGTTGGTTCGTGACTAGAAGAATCCTCCAAAAGTTACTCAGTTGGGCCAACCATTATGATAGAGAAAAAACAGCACACCATCCCAGTCACAATACCCACCCAAACAGTATAATTGATGGTTGGTGACCATGTTTGTGGCAGAGTGTTCAGTATAGTCCCACATTGTCACATGGTGTATCAACACACCACTTTGCAAAATGCAAAGGAAACCGCGTCATCATGACTGCACCATGGTCACTTGGGGGAACCCATGGGTTTCCTTTAGATATCCGATACGACCAATTTCACGTCAACAAGGTGCCCCCCTGTTTCCCCCAACAAAACCACTTGACCAGGCGCCCCCAACGCCAATTTGGCCATCTGACCCAAAGACTGGACCTGCGTCGCTGTGCTGCATGGATCTGTCATCTCTGGTCCAAGATTCGGAGGAGCGGGTGCTCAAACATATGTGAACTGGGCTTAGGATCTTGATTGGACCCAAATGCCTGTTAATGATGTTAATGTGTTAATCATTTTGTTCGGATCAACAAGACGCATGCATCATATGTGCAATTTGTTGACCTTATATGGCCATGTATGTATGTGTTTGCTTGTTTGTTTGTTTGCTTCTATATGTTTCTATACAAATAGACCGAGGAGTCTGCAAAGAGCTACAAAAATGGTCAAGTAGATTACGGGGCAATGACAATGTTGAGAACATTTGAGACCTATTTAGCGACACTTGACAAACTCAGCATGTTTGGCAGCTGACGAGACGAGGAACACAATGAAACCCCATCCCCAACAGAAACACGTCAAGAACATTACTTTACTGGTACGTTTTCTGGTGGCCCTGTATATTTGCTGACATTCTTACTCGGCATGTGTTCTGACATTGCATCTGGCATATCATATATACATATGTTCTGACTATATATTCTGACATTCTTCTGGCATATGTTCTAGCATTCTTTCTATCTGGTTCAGGTCTGGTGGTGCCCACTGCCATCTGGCGCTCGCTGTTCAGGTGTGGTGCCCAGGTCCGGTGGTGTCCACTGCAATGTGGAGCTTGCAGTGAAGGAAGGAGGAGGAGGAGGAGGTGGAGAAGGAGGAGAAGGCGGTGGAGTTAACAGCTGTGATAAAATATAACAACCCTCACCTGTCCGGTGGGAAAAAAGCAACGGCCTTTGCAAACATGGAACAGTCATGCAAGCGAGCGAGGGCTGATTAATGTCATGAATTGTTATGACATTTCACACACGCACCAGAATATACAATAACACACACAGTTGGTGGGTGTGCTAATACAATCACAATGAATTGCACATATCTAGGTGCAAGGCCCCACTCTACCATCACTAGTGTCTGAATTACGCCCATCTTTGCGCATCGCTCCAGCCTCTTCCAGTGGGACAGGCTTCTCCTGAATCCAAATCAAGCAAGTGAACAGTGTCAAGAATGAGTGGGAAGCGCGTCACCCTATGGCAAGGGAAAAAACAAATACCACCACGTGCGTGTGGAGCATGCTTAGCTTTCCAGGTGGGTGCCAGTGCAATTGAGGAATTGAATATCCACTAGTTCAAACGGACAAGGCATGGTACAGGATGGTACAGGGCATTCGTTGTTCGTGCCAGTGCTTGCACTGGGCAAGCCCTGCACCCACTGGGCATAGCACACCTCCAACTATTTCCCAGATGTCTACCATATTATGAACTGCAACAACATGGAAGTGGATGGTATGGCCCCTGGAAAAACCATGTTCCTCTACAACCAGTTGGTTTTCCATGTCCATGTTTGTTCAACGAATTTGGCACTCCAAACTGAGAGTTCAAACCTCATCTCCGCCGACAAAAGCTATCCACGCCTCACTGGAGGAGGCTGATGCAGATGCCTCCGAAGTGGTGCCATTTTGGAATTCTGATCGAGCAATGAGCCAAATTCCATCAATTCATGAATAGTTCTCGGATAATTGTTAAACCTACCAACCCAATTTACCTGGGAAGTGGAAAAACACTTCTCGGGAGCCTTCCAACAAGCTAAGCTATTGTCACTTGTCTTGTGTTGCCTCTTTCCAGACCACAAGGGACGGTACTGCTGCCCTGCACTAGAAACGGCAGCTCTGCACACGATCCGAGTCAGACTGCAAGCGGATTTGGGAAAACCAACGGGAAAATCAGGAGGAATGCTTCTTGACCGGACGCACACTTGTGGCAACGATCCATGTTTGTTCCTCATACCCACTCAACAATCACACAGAATGGATCAGAATGGGAAGAAACTAGAAACCTCTTCTAAATTCTGGACACAAACACTTCCCCTAGCCAATAGCAAGCATATGGCATATGTTCAAGCAAATCCAGCAAAAACATGCGCTCCATTGGGCTCCTCATCTTCCTCCTCCGAGTCCATCCAAGCAAACTCCTTGGGCCCGACTTGCTTCAGCTCCATGTCATTCTCATGCGTTGCTAAAGATCAAGCGCATCGTGCAGATCCATCAAAAAGAGATCAAAGGATTTTTCCAATGATTCCAATGACTACTTGGTCCTTTGCAGTCTGATTTCTTTATTCAACGCATGAGGACCCTATTCACATCTGGCTCCTTCTCTTTCTTCTCCTCCTTGCTCTTCTTGTCTCGACGCTTTTCTTTGCCTGGCGATCATGCGATCCTTCTGCCTGCCTGGCAAACTCCCGCATGTCAGTCCTCCATGGCGGTCGGATATGTAAGAGAAGCGATTTCCGCGTGACCCAGTCGGACTGAAGTAGTCTAGCCACGAGTGGACTTCGTCCCGTATGTTGACTTCGTCTTAAAAACCTTTGTCCATACCTTCAAGAGCTCCAGGTTTTTTTCGCCCACTGAATTCAACGGACTGCCACGTCCATGGCCGTCATTGGCCGTCAACGGGTGCCTTTGCTTCGGCTACGTGATCCTGAGCCGGGCGCTGATGCGAACACCGAGCTGTTGCAAACAGCAGCGCAGGAGGTTCCGGGACAAGTTAGACACAGCCAATATATTACTGTACATATTCTATCATATCATGTAGAGGAGTTGTGTGTTCTCCTAGGCCAAGGTTCAGCATGAAAGTACATGGTTTCTACTATCAAACTACTCTTAAGCCAACTTACTCTTGGACACACCCTGACGAGCTGGCTGTGTTTTTCCCAAACGGCAAGTTTAAGCAAGGCTGCGGCAAAACCCGTTCCATACCCACCACATTCACAAGTGTGTGCTGCAAACGTCTGCGCCACTGTGCCCCTCACCTGCCATGGTGGGGACTCGGTTTAGAAAAGGCGTCACTATTGTACTGCGGATATCTATCTGATGTACTCAGTTCTGGGTTTGATAAGAACCCAGGACCTCTCCCAAGAAACTATTCTGACTCTCCTTCCTCGTATGTCCCTCTGGTCCACCATGGCCATCATGTCAGAAAAAGAACCTGACCCATCACCCAACTCACCAGCAAAATGATGGACTAACTGTGACTGTGACAAATGTTCACCACCTGTTGCTGAAAAAAACACCAGGCATTGGAAACATGATTGTCTGGACTCTAGACCAGCAAAATGGTCTAACTCGGAAGTCGTTTTAATCAAGTTCTTGTTCTTTTCGACTCTCACCATCTCTCACCCTCTTTTCCATCCTTCCGGGATGCCCAGCTTTCAACGGCCGGCACACGAGTTCCGGTGCGGCTGCTGCCGACCTGAGGTGGGAAGAACGCAGCATGGATTGAAAGAACGATCTGAGTGTCACACACTTTGGGGTTGAGGGATGTTTAGGGTGTCTTTTGGAGGAACGCAGGTCAATTCCCGTGGTGGAGCATCCGGGTGAGACGAACTTCTTACTGTAGATTAATACTGTTCCCATGAGCTGCTTCACCAATCCTTCAAGAAATTGGAAGTCCAACAAGTGCCTGGTCATCTGGTCCTCTTGCAAAGAAGTCGGTTCATGTCTTTACATCAATAAGCTTGACCAGGTTACACAACGAAATGCTGAATCACTGATCAATGTACTAGTCTCGATTTTCATCCACATGTGGTACTTGTTGGTCTTTCCAGGATATTCCAACCCAGACGGCCCCTGCTGGTGAGTGGCCCCTTTGAAGCACCTACAGTAAACCTTCGAGTCTGAGACTCCTTCGGTGAACACCCAAGACAAACCGGTCCTAACACAGGCCCCCGAACGGCCAAACCACGTTTCGAGCCCAACATAGGCCTGGCCAAAGGCCGGGGATTTCACATCGGGCGTGAAAGGGAGATGGTTCCATTCCCAGAAGTTCTTTTTGTGTTTAAGATGCGTATGAGGTTGAAGGGGCACTAGGGAAGTCAAGCAACAATCCCCCAGGAGTTGTTTTTCGATGCAACCAATCCCAACCCTCATCGGGGAATCCCATAATAATGCCACAAACACATTGGTGTGTTAAAGGATGCTATAGGCGATGGCCGGACCACCAAGCAGCCCGAGTCAACCGTAACAGCAATTGTTCATTTGTGTCCGGCTTGCTTCCACATGAGCCTGCTTAAATGTCTTTGTCACTGCATGTACGGGCAAACATGTGAAACATAACATGAGGGATGTGCAAGACTTGTGTTGCCCAATGTTCGCGAAACAAACATGGATTGCTCTAGCATGCTCTAGCAGACTTTAGCAAGTCTCCATAGCAGTTTACCATCTCCATTCACGTCCGTACTCGGCCATACAGCAACCACTTCGAATGAAAAAGCTGCGCTTTCCGGCTAGAGACATCCTAGAAGGGAAGAGATTCCTAATCGGTGACAGGTCCGACTCCAAGTAACGGCTTGTCCCAGTTAGGGACCGCCAGGTGGGACAAATGGAGAGCGTTAAATGGCAACGTCGTGAAAAGAACAGTTCCCTGTTTGGCCAGGGGAACATATGGATATATAACGGGCTCCTCCTAAACAGTAACCTGCAGAAGACACAGCAATGGAGCCTTCAAGGATAATTATTGGACTCTTTTCCTCCACAACAAGAAAGGTGACCTTGGGATCCATAACTAGCATGAATTCTGGCACACAATGAAAATAGACCAGCCTGAAGCACGAACTTCTGCAAGTCACGTCAAGAAAGCCATCATTTGTGAAGCTTGCGGGGCAATACAACTGAACCTCTTGAGTAGACCTAGCTGAACTTGGCTCTTCCGTAGGTGGTTCGGGTAGTTGTCAGTTCAGTTGTGAAAGTCTGCCCTCGGGATGCAGGTGTAGTTTGAGCGCACAGTGCGCAAAGATGGCCGCAACTATATTTGTGGGCTAACTTCTCGGTACAGGGTCTGAGTCTGAACTATCCAGATTGTGGAAAATCTGGCAAGAACAAAGTAGCCAAAAAAGATCTGGGGCGGGTCCATCTCAAGGCAAGCCAATGCCGTCCAGTCGCTATTTTGTCTAGAACTCCATTGGAGGCGCTGCAAATCTGTCCGTCCAGTGGTCACTCTTCAGTCCAATGCTGTCAGGCTATGTCAGGCTTTGTGGCATGCTCGAGCCAAGAGCTTCTCAGCTGCAAACGCAAAGAGTTGGTGTCAACATGAATGCTGAATGCTTTGCTTCTTGAAACTCGACTCGACACACACGGTGCAGAACAAAACTGGCCTAAAGCGGAGTGGGCAGCGCGGTCACATACAGCAAGCCATGATTCTAAGTCTCCAACTATAAACCTACGCTCCAAGTTGTTCCGAACCCCCATTGTCCTTGCGTGTTCTACTTAGCATTGAATGCTTGGAACAATGTGTGGGATCTGTGCCCATTTTTTGGTGTCTTTACAAGGTTCGATGGTCGGCTATAAACAACTCGTTGAAGAACTGCATTCCAAGGTCTCTGCATTAGCTGCATGTAGTGTAAAGTTGTGAAGTAGACTTTTTGTCCTCGAGCCACTGCATTACTGATGTTTCACAGCACAACATGTTTACATCTTTTTAGCCTATTCAACCGTACAAGATCGTACAAGGATGTACAAGGGATATGTACAATGATCTAACCTCCAGACTGAACACTGCCATTCCCTCCGCACCAACTCCACGCCAAGCACAATCCCCTTTTTGGGCGTTTGGTATCGGCACGCCGAGCCTGCGAATATAAATTATATACCAAGGTCTGTTACATCTGGTCCTGAAAGTAGCTGTTCCTGGATCGTACACAGGAAGAATCTTCGCACGATGGCATGCGATTCATTGTAATTCCTCCTCTTTTGGGACTTCACCAGTCTTCAGGCCTGAATGTGGACAAACACACAGCCAAACAGCCAACTATCTATCAAATGCCCTTTCAGACCTTGTTCCGTGCATGAATTTGGGCTCTTTCGGAGATGTCAAGTCGAAAGCTTGTCTTTTAGTCCACCATAATGCTCTTATAGCTGCATGTGTTTATATAACTTTATAGGCATAGCAACAACGTGGGTCGGGGGACATAGTGCAAATTCATATGTGTCCCCTCAACAATTCATTGTAGAATAAATATTATACATTATTATATAATATTATATAGTTATATATAGTTCAATATAGATATACTTTACATTACTTTACAGTATACAATAAAGTATGTTGATTTTCATGATCATAGAATCATAGTAATAGGTAAGACTGGCTCAGGCATGACACATTTCTGGTTTCCCGGACAGGTGGGGAGAAGTCACAAACGGAAAGAAAGCCCATCGCAAAGCACGACAGCGTGACCGTTCGCCGGCAACGGTCCCAGCCCCACTACTGTCTGCCACACATTTGGGATCAAGATTCTTGCCAAAGTGTCACAATGTTTCGTATGGACCAGCTCAAAGTCTGACGTGCCAACAATTATGACTCGCTTGATGTGTCAATCTACTGGCTTCTTGTAGGAGAATCTGCCCATCCTAAAGTGGGAATAACATGGAATAAAGGCTATGACCGGGCAGAACACTTCTGCCCGGAATGTCGCAAGTGTATGACTATGAGAGCAGTCTCATGGAGGAATCCACGTCTAGCCCAACGGCCCGACAGATCCTGTCCCCAAACCCGAAATGCGTGGGTTCCCCTCAAGAGCGTTAGGGCAGGGTGTGTGGGTCTACAGCAAGCCGACCCTCGATCACACCATCTTGAAGGGGCTTTTCATGGCCTGGTCAAAGTGCAATCATGCGCAAACGATATAAGCACAATGAATAATGCGACTTGGTTGTCTTTGACATGAGCATGTTGGCATATGTTGGCCAAACTTCATGCCACCACGGATCCTCGAAGCTGACAGCACAACCTCCCGCATGTGGGGCTAAGGACCTCAAAGATGCCACACCCTCATTTGTAGAGAACGCAGGCAGCCTCTGGAGTCTTCTCTCAGCGAGGAGAACGCTGGTCTACGAGCTACACATGCCACTGCGCTCAAAAACACTCCATGTGCGCATGTGTTGGGGATTATGGGGAAGGGGGACAAGAGCTTGGTTCTTGCATAGATGTTGTGAAGAAGAAATTGCT